GTGTGTCTGTGTCTGTGTCTGCGTCTGTGTGTGTGTGTGTGTGTGAGTGTGTATTATTTGTGTGTGTCTGTATGTGTGTCTGTATATGTACACGTATATGTATATATATATTGGCCTGTATGGATGGATGTATGTATGTATGTATGTGTATGTGTGTCTGTCTGGGGTNTATATATATATATATATATATATGTATTTATACATATATATAATATAGTATATATATGTATATATATATATATATGTATGTATGTATAAATATATATGTACATATACACATATATGTATATAATATATGTATATATACGTTATACTTTAACGTATATGCATAGATGCAGGCATATGTGTATGAATATGAATGTATATCCACTATATATATATATGTATGTGTGTGTGAATGTATGTATACGTGTTCAAAATATGTATGTGTGTGTGAATATATATATATATTGTATGTATTGTGCATATATGTAACTATGTATGTATGCTTGGATACGGAATATATATATGCACGTTTATAACTATTTTTATACGTTATTAATGTGTGTGCTTATGTGTGTAGGTGCGTGTGTGTAGGAGGGCGAGTTTTGTGTCTGTATTCAATTGTGTATGTAAGTAAATATACATGTATGTTATATATATATGTGTGTGTGTAGGTGCGTGTGTGTAGGAGGGCGAGTTTTGTGTCTGTATTCAATTGTGTATGTAAGTAAATATACATGTATGTTATATATATATATATGTGTGTGTGTGGATGAGTGTGTGGGTGTGGGTTTTTGAGTGTGTTCTAATGTATTTATACATCATGTCATGACATATAAGAATATCTGTACTCGCGCGTGTTTGTGCATAGTAGTAATATTCATACTTATACATTATTATGCCTTGTATATACTTAGTCGACTATTGTTAGTGTAATTGCGTGCGTCATAAACCTCACTTGATCGAAGACTATTATTGTACCATTCTGTAACTCTTGTGCGCTACCACAACAGAAACATAACATAGCCTATTCATACTAATATCTGTACTATTTTGGAGCGTGAATTCTTAATTACGGCGTCTCACACGTATGTATAGACCTCTATGGTAGTATGTGTGCAGTACAAAGGTGCGCCTTCTGCATTAAGTACATGTCTGGGACAGCATCACTGTCCTCAAGTTTACAGCGAACCCAACGGTGCCATTGACTTGTGGTAGATACTGTCATACACAAGACATAGCCCATTGACCCATGTATTACTAAAGCACACCACCCAACCTACCTCTCGCGTTACATTATATATATATATATTCGTGTGCGTGTGCGTGTGTGTGTGTATGTATATACATATCGTTGTGAGAACGGTTAGAGCATCTTCGTCACAAATGGTCTAGTTCGCTACCTTGTACATAGTTTTGTCAATTAGACTTTTCAAACCACACACCTACACCAACGGCTATATTAAATTCAATCGGGCCCAATTCTTTACAACTGTGAAACCTACCTTTTTATACACACCAAACATCTCGCCCACACCTACCACCCACACAGTGTCGACCGATTCGTTTTGTTCTGTTTTTAAAAACGCTAAACACCCAAAACCCTAAACCACACCCTAAACCCTACCACCATCCTTGTATAGGCCTTCGGCAAGTTCCTCTCGTACTTTCCCCTGTGCTTCGGCTATTGGAAGAAGTACGCTGATCTCGAGCACAAACTCGCGGGGATTGCTGGCGTCACGTCTGTCTACGAACAAGGGGTGGCAGCCATCCCACAGTCAGTGGATCTGTGGGTGCACTATTTAAAACACGCCCAGGCACAGGAAGACGAACAAGTACCCGGCCAGGATAACGGCCAAGAGCTGCTCAAGCTGTTTGAGCGAGCCGCGCAGGCCTGTGGCAGGGATTGGAAGTATGTGTGGGTGGATGTGTGCTTGTGTATGTTGTGGTATGTGTGAGTGTTGGTTGGGTGGGGGTGTGCTTGTGTATGTTGTGGTATGTGTGGGTGTTGGTTGGGGTGTGGGTGCTTGTGTATGTTGTGGTATGTGTTGGATGGGGTGTGGGTGGGTGTATGCTTGTGTACGTTGTGGTATGTGTGGGTGTTGGTTGGGGTGCGGGTGAGTGGGTGCTTGTGCATGTTGTGGTATGTGTGGGTGGGTATGTGTATGTGTGGGTGTTGGTTGGGGTGTAGGTGGGTATGTGCTTGTGTATGTTGCGGTATGTGTGTCTGTGCATGCGTGGGTGCATATACACGTCGTGTGGGTGTGAAGTGTGTACATGTGTGTCTACGCGTGTCAAGTATGGGCCTGTGACTGTGTGATTGCGAGTGCATTATATGTGTATAGTCTATTTGATTGTGCGGTGTGTGCAGGCGGCATAGAGTGCAGATGTTAGTTGATTGGTAGTCACAGGAGTGTTTGTTTAAGTCCCAGCCACTCTACTCACAAGGGGTGTCTGGTGTGACATCTCTGTCTACTGTACGCCCGTGGCAGATGAACAGACCAACTCACAGTACATGGATACGGTTAGACAGAAATAGTCTATCATAGTCTGATCTTGAGCACATATAATAGTGGAAAGATGCTTTCCAATGAAGCGAATGGTAAATACAAACTCGCTCGCGCACACCCCCATACTGATGTATGTTCAAATGGCTATAACTTTCACACGCATATATATATATGTGTGTGTGTGTGTATACTTATGCGCATATTTGGTCGTCTATATTAACACGTATACACACATTATGTAATTTGCTTCAGGAGCTCGCCTTTCTGGGATCTATACCTCGCACAAGCACAACAAAGCCGAGACAAGACGGTTGTGGCCAAGGTCTATGCTCAACTGCTGGCCATTCCACACTTGTACCACGACCAGTATGTCGCAAAGTTCAATGCCTTTGTGGCCGATACGGCGGTCGAGACTATTGCCACCCCCGAAGAGATTGATGCCATCAAGCAGGTGTGTGTGTGTGCGTGTGCGTTCATCTGATCTGTACAAGTGTATGTGTACTCGAAGAGAAGGGGGAAGGGGGGGGTGTTGTTGTTGTTGTTTATTTTCGGTGTATGGTTTAGGCCTTTGTACCCTATCCCTTCTGGTGTGTGTGTGTGTAATGTCTTCTGACCCACAGCTGCTATGCTGAGGTATCCACAAACTGTCGTAGCTCTACATCACCTGTACACCCCATAGGCTGATCTGAGTGGTCTCTCGCTCTATGCGACTCAATTTTTTACGGATGTATAGGGCTTACATTGCATATATCTACACACCCGGGTCTCAATCAAAGACCAAGACAACACGCACAACCAAGACAGCCAAAACAACAGTATTTGTTATTAATCAGACACCAAGACAACACACACACCTGCAGTATGTGTTACTATTCAGACACCAGGACAACACACACCTGCAGTATGTGTTACTATTCAGACACCAGGACAACACACACCTGCAGTATGTGTTACTAATTAGAGACCAAGACAACACACACCTGCAGTATGTGTTACTAATCAGAGACCAAGACAACGCACACACCTGCAGTATGTTCCTAATCAGAGACCAAGACAACACACACACCTGCAGTATGTGTTACTGAGGATCTAACTACAGTCACGAGCCATGTTTGCAAACATAAGGCAAACGGGTTGTGCTCACAACGAACCCTCTTCTGTTTACACGACAAGTCATCCCTACGTCATCGCCATCCTGCCGTCTCAATGGTTCATATTTAAATTCTTCCATATAAGGAAATCGAGGCTAGCATGGGCCAGATGAGCGAGATCGCTCTCGCCGAGGAGGTCAAGAGCAAAGCCGCGGAGCTGCGACAGAAGGTTGCCATGGCAACCAGCGTAGAGGCGAACCGGTGCAAGCCGTTCGAGGACCGTTTGGCGCGTAACTACTTCCACGTTAAGGATGTAGACGAACAGCAGAAGACAGCCTGGAAAACGTATCTGTGCATGATGATAGACGCCTCGTACGACCGGGAGGTGATAGCGTTTACGTTTGAACGGTGTCTGATTGTGTGTGCTCTGTATGAGGAGTTCTGGCTACAGTTTGCGTACTGGCACAGAGGCGACCCACAGGCCATGGCCGCGGTGCTGCAGCGGGCCATTTTGTTCACAGCCAATAAGCCCAACTGCTATTTGGCCTTAGCCTCCGCACAAGAAGCTATTGGGTGAGTATAGAGCTGCATGTGACTGTATGTGATGGGTGTGGGTGAGTATAGAGATGTATGTGATGGGTGTGGGTGTGTCTACAGATATGTGTATATGGATAGTGTTAGACATACTTGTAGGGAACGGTGCGACCTCTTGTGCTATGCGTCATCGTTGGTAAGGCTATCTGCCACTCGGCACTTGCCGCTACACAGGTGGCTATTGGAGGAGTATAGACATGTCTGTAGATGTACGTTAGATGTGGTGAAAACAATCGTGGATGTAGATGTGTATGTATGTAGTGGATATAGTCATATCTGTGGATGTAGTGGATATAGTCATAACTGTGGATGTAGATGTTTGTGTATGTAGTGGATATAGTCATGTATGTGGATGTAGATGTGTATGTATGTAGTGGATATAGTCATATCTGTGGATGTATAGTGTATGTATGTAGTGGATATAGTCATGTATGCGGATGTATAGTGTATGTATGTAGTGGATATAGTCATGTATGTGGATATACATGTATGTAGATGTGGTGAATATAGAATCAAGTTTATTCTCACAATTCTTCCAACCAAGTTTATCCTCACCCCACAGCTTCCCATTCATTCCCACACACACACACAGCGCCGATGGTATCGAGGGGGCGCGTGCGACATACAAAATGGCCACGGAGACGTTCACTACAGACAGCGAAGGCTTTGTGGAGTTGGCAGTTCGGTACTCAAACTTTGAGCGACGACAGAACGAAGCACAGAGTGCCGTGGCCGTGTTAGATGCCGCGGTTGCACTGTGCGAGGCAGGCACAGGTGGGTTCATCTGATATGCGTTATAACTTCTAGGTTGATGTACAAACAGTGTATGATTATGTATTGTACTAAGAGTATATGTTCATGTGGGATATAAACAATACATGCCTATACATTATACCAACAATATGTGACTATTTATCATGCAAACAATATATGTCTCTATTTTGCACTGATATGCGTTATAACTTATGTTGATGTACAAACAATGTATGATTATCAATTGTACTAAGAGTATATGTTCATGTGGGATATAAACAATACATGCCTATACATTATACCAACAATTTGTGACTATTTGTCATACAGACATATACAAACAATATACGTCTATATTTGGCAAATACTATCTTTCTATCTCCGGCGAGTGCAATTTTCCGGCTGGTCTAACTAGTTTGTTCTTCTGTGTGGCCCGCTTCAATTTTTCGCTATATCGCGCTGGTGTTGTGTTACTATATTTGGATGTGCGTTGCTTGTCGTTCTATGCCACTGTTCTCGTCCTGCTGTGTGGTATGGTGTGTGTGTGTGTGTGGTATGGTAGTACACTGTGGTCTCGTGCTACATTGGCCAGGTGATGCGTTTAATCGGAATCTGATCCCCTCACAAGCGCGCCTCGACGTACGCACCCGAACCCGAAACGTATATATGTATTATATATACTTGTATATACGTATACATATATGTATTATATATACTTGTATATATGTATTATATGTACGTGTATATATGTATTATATGTACGTGTATATACGTATATATGCATCTATCTCTCACACACACTCGCCCTCTGTTTCTTTGTGTCTGCATATCAATGCTAGCTAATCCATGAGCCTGTATCATATATATCCCTGAACACCCATATCTTCTATCAACTCCTCCTCTCTCGATCTCTATCCTCTCTCACAGCCACACACAGCTACCTTCTAGGCGCTAAAGCCGAGCTACAGTCAAAGGTGGGCGAGGCCGCCGATGCACGCGCAACCTACGAAGCGTGTGCGCGCGCTAACCCATCCAATAAAGATACGTACCTGAGGTGGCTTAATTGGGAGCAGTCGTTCTACACAGGTACACTCGTGCCCCTGCAAACACCCCCGCCCCACTCCATACGTGCATTGCATTGTGTGTCGGCAGTGCTTGTGTACCTCTCTTGGTATAGCCGCAGATGTGGTTCAGAGGGGTGTATGTATGTATGGTTGGTGTTGTACAAGGGTGGTTGTGGTGAGTGTGTGTATAGAGCGTTCATGCGCAAGATGCTCAGTGTGTGTACGTTATGACTCTTAGCAGGCACCCGCATCTGTCCGCTTTAGGGTTTAGGGTTGTAATACTTGTTTAAATACATTTGCGGTTGGAAATGTTTGTTGGCGTACAATGCTGCATCCGGAATGAACTCGATCTGCGTGCGTTTAACATCTCTGGGCATACACATACGCAAGACCTACGTGCATTGCACATCTCTGGTCATGCATATACATTAGAACCTCGATCTGTGTGCCTTATATATCTTGTGCCATACCCACACGTGCACACAACCACACGAACTATTACATCCACATTGCTTGTTGTGCTATTTAGAGGCCGTTGAGGATGTCAATGTGCGTACGTTTTACATCTCGTGCGATACTCACACTCACAAACTAATACATCCACATTGCTTGTTGTGCTATTTAGCGACCGTTGAAGATGTCGATGTCCGTACGTTTTACATCTTGTGCCATACACAGTCACATGCACACAGCCACACTTACTATTACATCCATATCGCTTGCTGGGCTATTCAGAGGCCGTTGAGGATGTTAGCGTGTGTACGTTTTACATCTCGTTCCATACACACACTCACGTGCACACAACCACACGAACTAATACAACCACATTGCTTGCTACATGCACACAGCCACACTTACTATTACATCCATATCGCTTGCTGGGCTATTCAGAGGCCGTTGAGGATGTTAGCGTGTGTACGTTTTACATCTCGTTCCATACACACACTCACGTGCACACAACCACACGAACTAATACAACCACATTGCTTGCTGGGCTATTCAGAGGCCGATGAGGATGTCAGCGTGCGTACAGAGTCGGTGTTCGCTGTGGTCAAAGAGGTAGGAACAGCAGCACTGGCCGAACAAGACCTGGCTGACTTGGCCCTGCGACGCGTCAGATTACTGGACACCTTGGTAGGTGTTGTGTAACGAGTTGCTGGTTGTAGTGCGTCCTGCTTTGTTATTCGAAAGTCTAAACGTTGGCCGGAAGTATACGTTTATAACATCTGGGCTCTATGATACAGCCACATATATATATATATATATATATAGCCTTCCCTCAGGGGAGATGCTGTAGGCAGCCTAGACCATCGAGAAGATGGCCTCGTGTTCTCGGGGCAATACCTGGTGGGCTGGGTTGTGTATTGCACAAGGGTGATTCGTACTGTGTGAATGTGTGTCCTTGTCCTGGTCAGGGCCGTGTCTGGTCGGGTTTGTTTTGTGCCGTGAATGAAAGGGGTACTTATACCACCTGTTCTGTGTGTTACTGTTATGTCTTATCCATTGCGACGAGGTGTCTACCCTACCTGTTCTGCGTGTTACTGTTATGTCTTATCTATTGCAATGGTCTGTCTGCGGCTGTTCAGTCTAGTCACTACTCAGCCTCAGGCAGTCCTGCGGAGATGTAGTGTGTTGGCCCCCATACTGTCCTCTGCAATGCGCAAAGTGGCTGTGTGTAGTTGTGACCCACACCCCTTGCACGTACACGACCCTGTTGTACTACACACTGCCTACGCCAAAGCCGAAGCCGAACCTCGGAACACTCCATCTAATGCTCGTTGGTTTCCACGCTTAGCTTGTGTTTCACATACCCCATCCCATCACCCGTGCCAATGGCTGTACCTTGTTACCCAGGGGTCAGACGCTGCCCTGCTGCAGAGTGCGAGGTTAGACTACTTTGGCACCTACGGCTCTGGTGCCACATTCAATCCCGCCACCGCTGCGAAGAAACGCCACGCGCAGGACGCAATGTAAGTCGGTCCGTCCTGGCGTTGCGTGCGCTTTATCTGTTTTTTTTTTAACTTTTGGCCTGTTTTCAATCCTGTTTTTTGCATTTGCATTGGCCTGTTCCCATCCTAATCCTGTTTTTTATCGGGTGTCTTATTCCCAATTCTATTTCTGCACCTATTTTACCTCGGCTGTCGGGCCGTATATGTCGTCCTGTCTTGTTTTTTTACCACTCGCCGTCGTTGAGGCTTCACTTTCCTCTCGTCTGTTTGTTTTCTGGCGCTTTGTTTTCCCGTTAATATCGTTTTGTGTTTGAGTTGCTGTGCATGTACCCGTTTCCTACGTCATGTGACTCAATTTACGGTTTGCTTTCGGAGAGGCCTATTATTTTCGTGCATATATCAACCCTGGAGTTCAGGATTGAACAAAAGTCCGCATTCGGCTTGTCGGTCAAGGGTGCCCTAGGCCGCCAGTAAGTATGGCTCTGAAGTGGTTAGTTGTCTGCGTTCGCTTTCCCTGATTGTGAAATTCGGTGCGAATTTTTGCTTTCCGCGGCCATTTCTGTTGTAGTTGCCACATTTTTATTTATTTATTTTTTTGCTTGGATTCGGTTGCGGCCAGGATCACAATCCCAATTTTCTTAAAACCCCAAAACCCTAAATCCATCTCGAGTAGTCGGAAGTTGTAAGTCATAGGCAGCTTAAATGAGTATAAGCTCAATCTAAGCGGCGGTAAGTTCGTTACATTTTGACTGTCGATCGGCTTTCTCGGTAGACCCTTTTTTTTTTTGGCGCTTTCTCTCGGCGTTTCTGACCCGCATTCCGTCCTGGCCAACGCGTTACGCTAAGCTGTACTATAATATACCATCTCCCCATGGACTCTTCCTTGTAAGCCTTGGGATCGGGCAGGTTGTCTCTCCCGCCGGCTTGGTGTGGAGAAGCAACCTCATAACGGGGGTGGGGCGCAGGCATTCGAGACGATATACCTACTTGTAGAACCGGTCCAATAGGCGCTCAGAGATAGAAGCCACTGACCAATTACACAGCCCAGCCGTCTGGATCCCCCATTCCTATACTACTCAGCTGTAGGGGGTGTTTGGTTTCGTTTCTCTTGTTTTTTTCTCTTGTTTTCAAACTTCTCGCAGATGACTAACCCTTCCTTTTAACATATATCCGCCACCCATCCGCCCTGTCTGTGGTCCTAATCCCTGTCCTCGTATCCTCAAAATAGGGCTCAGCCTGTCCCAAAAGCGGCCAAAGTAGACGCACAAGTCCCGGTTGTCGGTGTGGTGGCACCTGCCGCGCACGTAGACCCCATGGCACAACACAATGCATGGGCCCAACAGCAGAACCAGTGGGGAAACTACCAACAACAGGTATGTATATATATGTGTGTGTGTATGCATATAGATGTGTATATGTATGTATCTGTATATGAGTGTGCGTGTGTGTGTGTGTGTGTAAGTATGTTTATATACATGTGACTTTCTGCAACACAAGTGGATACTCGCTAACATCATAGTAAGTGTATATTTGAGAAATGCGACCATCTGGTGTGCATATTTCTCTCACTAGCAAGCAGGGTGTGTACTCGAACGGTTTGAGTGTTTATGTACATCAATAACCAAAACATTTGTACATTCCCCTTTGAACTAGTGAATATTGCAAAAGTACCTTTTCGTTGGTGTAACATCTTATATGTACGACTATTTGTCCGTTTTATAAACGTATTTCAGGTGATAATGTGTTTTACTAGATTCCTTGAAATCTTACACCCTAAACCCTAAATCAATGCTTGTAAATACAGGGATATGGTATGCAACAAGGTTGGGGTAATCAACAGTACGGCTGGGGTCAATAATTCGCAGACACGGCGAACACTATACCTAGATGGTGAAAGACACTGCACCTAGATGGTGAAAGACACTGCACCTGGATGGTGAAAGACACACTGCACCTAGATGGTGAAAGATTTTAGTACCCAAGATTATGTAAACTGGTTGTGTGACCAAAGGAATATTATAGGGTGAACGCCCTAAACTTGGCAGTGAGTGTTCCGATATATATATAAGAATAAAAATGAAGAACGGCCAGATACATAGCTGCACAAGTCTCTGTTCTAAGAGTATTTTATACGAAACCCGTATGATTACTCGAACTTTTATCCCATCTTCCTTATTAAAATAAACACGAATCACACTACCCGGTAGTACCATGAAAAGTTCAATACGTTAATATTTCTGAGAGATATACTGCAGTCGCATAGGCCAAACACATCGCCACACAGCACCTCATCGGGTTGTCAAGCAAAAAATCACCCGTGCGGTCAACGTATACTCGCGCGACAGTATGATACCCTGGTCATGAAGTAGTACTTTCATAGCCATAGGGATGGGTCGATTCAATTGTAAATGAACTGTCTTCTTATGGCCATGAACCATTTTCTTGCCGTAACCATTAATGAATAGACTACAAACCACAGTCTTCGTGTGACCATAAACTAGTACGTCTATAGTCATATAGGGATGAATCTATGCATTCGTATATGAACTGCCGTCGTATGACAATGGACTAGTAATTTCATATAGTCATATAGGAATGAATTCTATACACTCGTGTATGCACAGCTATGTACGCGTGCTAGGCTCGGCATATCCAAGTATGCATGTTCAAAAAGGTGTATATAAGCGGACATTCTTCTCGTTTCTCATTTTACAAATTCTCATCGGCTTTTGACTACAATGTGTTTAATATTGATGAAATATTAAATCAATTTGCTGTCGAGCATTGTGACATGTGATGTTGAATATGTTCTATTATGCTCCAGCACTGTGCGTATCAGAGACTTGTCTCTATACTAATACACTTCCGAGGCAACATGTATCTGGTACATAGGACACACCGGTATTGAACTGAGTTGTGAGATCTCAAACACAACAACAGCTTAGTTCAAGGTTCAAGGTTGTGGTCGAATAGTTGCACTCGTAATATAGATAAAATCGCGCTACTGCACATAAATATATCGACTACTGCTATTATCAATATCTATATAAATCTCCTCGGTGCGTATATAAAGACGCTTTTATGTATATCTGGCATATCTGTCAAAAGTAGTTTGCCCTTGGGCGACAGTATCTACTTTTTATTTGTGTTTATGCTCGAACAAGCCAGGGCAATAACTTTGGATACTAATACCATATTATCTGCTATTGCTTTGACCCCTAAAAGAGGATTGGCGAAATTCAAGCCATGATTGCAAAGCTCCATTAGCTTAGGTAATTAGAATTGATACGCGTCTATTCGTTAATCGACAAACGCTGACCGGACCATATTAAAAACTTTTAAATTTTTAACTTCAAACTATGTTCGATTTGCGCACGAATTTATTTTCGAGGACGTGAATTCTGATCTAACCAGAACTCTGTATCCTCGTAACCTAGCTGTACTAATGCATATTTATGCAGTGCAATGGCTTCGGCATTAAACATTGCTTTTAGCCATTCCCCTTCGGAAATGGGCAAGGTGTCCAGACCACGAATACCCGGGTATATGTCCGTTGAGTTGTCTAACGGCACATCACCGCCCAAGCCTGACCACGTGACCCACTGGCTGCTGGGAACTACAGCCACGCGCAGACAGTTGTCGCCCTCAAATCCGTCTGGACACGGAAGCTCTTTGGAGTACCCGCCGTCTCTAGCGTACATATCTCTGAATGTTGTCGTGCAGGTGTCTGATTTCGATATACCGCTGACAAACGAGGATGCCCGAAGCGCACTAATGAGATCATTTCTACTCGTAAATCCCGTGACAGTCAGTCCGGTAGGAGGCAGTGAAACACATTCGGTGAAGGGCACTTCTTCTCCAATGGTTATGTGGACGCCCACCAGATCCTTGCTTCTTTTCCAGGCATCTCCTTTCGGGACGAGTGACTCCAAAATCTGCGATGCAACGTTGTCTAATCTACCGTCGCACGATCTCTCGCTGCATTTTTTTATAGTACTATCAAACGCTTCCTTAATATCTTCAACGTCCACACCCATACTGTTCAAAGCTGCCATGTACGATCCACCGCTTGTACCAGCCATCGGCGTCTCTCCCGGGACTATAAGCCCAGACTCAAGCAATTTTCTCGCCACACCAAAATGGTAGTATATATAGAATCCTGAACCGCTGAATCCTATTGCATCAATTTTTCTACTGGTGACACTTTTAGCAAAAGTGCCCCCAACGAATAATAGTACGGAGATGAGTATATTTACCAAAAGCATTATGGGGAGTTTGTGTGTATGACCAGTAGTTAATTGCACTCTGATGTAAATTGTATTCTATTTTGGTACTGTATACGTGTGTGCATGCATGCTACTATTTATACAAATCGAGAGTGTGTGCGCACATTGAGTGGATGGCTGAATAGCTATAATACCTGCTCAGGCGATGTCAACTGTTACATACAGATGGAGCTGACTTCAGTGACTTGGAATATCAAAATGATATTTTATAAAAACAAAATATAATATTAAAAAAATTACATATTTTTTGTTTGTTTTAAAACAAAACAAAAACAAAAACAAATAAATACACAGCTTTGCTTTTTTTTAAACAAAAACAAAAAAAGGGTTTTTATTGTTTTGTTTTGTAAGGCATTTGAAAAGAAAAGAAAAACAATCACAAAGTGACTGTCAAGTGTCAACACCAGTCTCCAGGTCAACAATGTCAACTGTCTTAATTTGTTTTTATGTTTCATTTTAGAAGGCTATGGTTTTAAAAAAAATTAAAAACGGTAAAGCAGTAAAGCTGCAAGTAATGTATTGAAAGCTGGCCTGGTATGCGACAAAGACAGGATGATATGTCTTCTCAGCAAACTAGTTCCCGACCCGTCGCGATTTGTCTTCTTAGGAGAACAACATGACGTAAATCGGACTTATGACTGTAATAAAAGTCAGCGTCCGGCCGTGTCGTCATAGGCTCATAGCGAAAAGTGCTGTCTTAAACCAGCCCAAATTGAAAGAGTACTCACTACTCAGTATTTATATCTATAATTTTGTACTGTATGGAGTCATGAGTGTGGACTCAGGAATCAAGAGTGGCAGGACTATGGAATCTAATGTAGTAAACAAATAGTAATGTACTAATGTGTATTCTAAATTCTATACTCTAAAAGTCTATAGACTATGGACTGTGAATAATTTTATTGTATTTTATAGGAGGGAACAGGTTTTGAGGCAAGACTATAAATAGTCAGCGGCTCGCCTCACTTTTTTAAAATACATTATAAATATATAGTTTATACTTTATAAATACATAGTCACTGACTTCTAAATATAGAATGCAAATACAGTTATACATACCCTTGTGACTTCTAATCGTAAAACGTATTAGATACGTTTTCATACGTTATAGGGCCCTAGTCCTGCCAACTAGATTCTGCCAAAATATGAACAGTTTCGTTTTTTCAATTTTCAGTTGGATCAGAGTTTCTATTGACATCAACGACTAGCTATTAATTGTACATATCCAACCAAAATTGGTTTTTAGAATTAGTTTCTATTCCTACATAGCTAAAAACGGGAAAACGGTTTCGAATCTAAGCGTTAACATGAAATATACTACGTTTTTATAATATATATGAAACCGGAAGCACGTATTGAAGTCTGCGGCCACTGAAAACTCTAAAGACTAAAGGGCAAGCCGGCACGGATGAGGGCGAGGCTGCTGCTGCGGAATCCTGTATTCCTGTACAGTGTACATCTGCGTTCCTGCAATATATAAATACAAGTAAAAAAGCCCATAATTGCACTATCTAATAAACATTGTAATACTGACATATATAGGACAAAAACTGGTTGTATATATTCGTATACTGTAGTTTAAAAACGACATAAATCACATAATCAGTTAATCATCCGTCACGATACTCGATTATGTACGTTTAAAAAACCGTCGACACCATGACCAAAGTGTAGTTTTCCTGTTTCGACCTCTTCCCGAAGGGAATCACGCTTGTTGTTGTAAACTTCGTTGTTGAGAAAATGACCTCTGTTATAGTGCTGTCAAGCTTTTATAGAATAATCCATAGCCTTCTACAGAAAATAATCAATAAGGCTATGAAAGAATGTGTAATTCTCACGAGGCTGTGAATATATATTGTATATAACAAGTTTAAAAAATCAATACAATCGAGATGTGAAAATGAAATTATCCTAATAGTGCGTTTGCAGCTTAACTATATGCACTAAGCCTTGAATACGAATGCAATTATGGTGGTTTGACTACACGCTCTCATGCACAAATGCATTCCGCACTGAGGTTATAGTTTTCAGCATGCATACGTAGGTGCGCACGGTGAGATGTATCCTATATGTAATGTGTCTAAATAGTACAGGGTAAACTCGGTTCGCAGTATCTACTGGTTTTTATTCATGGGTATGTAGAATCAATACGTAGCTTCTCGTCTGCTTTTGCTTTATTTTCTGAACCCAAACTGAAAAATACAACTCTGATTTGAAGCTTCATTAACATGTGCAATAAAAGAACTCTTACGCGTCTATGTATCCGCTACTCGTCAAACGTTGACTTGTCTATAAAATTTATTTTGCAGCTCTATATGGTGCACTTATGTTAGATCTGTGCACGAATTTACTTCTGCGATTTCACACCTATTACCAGATTACCACATCCTCGTAACCTATCCGTACAATAGTACGAATTTTCTTTTCTTGCGATAGTGAACTTGGAACTAACCAAAATGCTGAATCCTCGTATCGTTGCTGTACAAATGCATCTAATTATGGTGCCATGGCTTTTGCATCAAACATAGTTTCCAGCCATTCCTCGTCGGTAATGGGCAAGGTATCCAGAACTGTGAGACCACGAATGCCCATGTAGATTGTGTACAAAGTGTGCACATCGGTGGAATGAATTCGAGTGCATATAATGTCTATCACGAGTAAGCTACAGTTCTATTTACAGCTCAGCGAGAAGCTCTTCTCCAATAAGTGTGATACACTCGTCTTTCTAGAATAGTTTCTAACGGTAGCTATATATTGTGAATTATGCCTGTATGATCGAGAATTCTGTCTCGATGGATGTGATTTGGTATTTATAACTGTCAATGCAAACAATTATGCTCCTCCAATAAATTGCATGCTTACATAGCATAGAAAGATAGACTGAGCTACAATTAGGAGTGTGATTCAGCAGGGTTTACTGGTTTAGTATTTTTGGTCTCTATTGCAGTCCGTCGGGTATAATGACTTTTTATTATCTGAACATAAGGAGATCTTAAACGGCAAATGGAAGTTGCCCACTAGACGTTGATAACTAGATGTGTGATCCACTGATCCTATACTACCAGATACTTTATTTGACACTTTTACACATGATCTTAACAGCGGGATCCGCGACGGTTTGCGCCTAACCGCTGATATTCATTTCTGAACAGTGCTGCGCGTGTAGTTTAATATCGAGAGACTACCCTTGCACTGCTAATAGTAGTGGTTTCGTATCATATATTAGCTATGTCTTCTCCTCTATCGAATCAACCGAGACTGCGCGGCACTATTCACTATTGACTATTACTAGGTATACGATCACAAGGGCACCCCAAAGCACGGCCAGCCCTGACTAGCTTTTCTGATCGCATCTATCTAAACACGGGATACTAGGCTATGCGGCCCTCCCCAACAAAAACGGGTGCACATCATGGGGTCGGATACTAGGCTATGCGGCCCTCCCCCACAAAAACGGGTGCATACCATGGGGCCGGCAACTGTCTTCTCAGGTTATCACATGCATCATTTGTGCCGTGTTCATGCAGTGTGCATGGGCAAACGGTAGTGGTGTGTATATACTCTGGGACAACATCGAGCCATCCTTGGAGACGTCGCACATGTTTGAAAGTGTTCGCCTGACAGCATTATGCTGCCTCAACTCATGCACGTTCGTGTTCCATTGCGCTGGTGGATGCGGCATCTGTACACCTCTACAAATGAACAGTGACATACGCACGTGTCAACACATTTAATATAGACATATACATATACATATACATACATAACTAGTACATGTAATCATCAGCACTCTGTACTGCCTTTTCGCCTATCCTGCTCGCCTCTTCCGATCAGCCCTATCTGCCTGCCTTGTGCTTTGCCCTACCACGTATCTGGGCCATCTCCCCTCCATCTCCATCGTATTCTCTATCGGTGTTTCGCATCTTTCCCACGCTTCTCTACTACATGCGCTTCCTCACCTTCTATATCATCCTTGCTATTATCCGTCACATCGTCATTGTCATTGTTATCCATATCAATCGCCTCTCCCGCATCCTCGTCATCGCCCTCATCCGCATCGGCCCCTATAACCATGTCGGGGCTATCCCCACCCCCATCCTCTCCCTCTCTCCCATCTTCATTTTCATCTCCATCTTCGTTCGCCTTGTCTGCCTTGGGCTTGGGCTGTTTTCTGTAGTCGCCTGTGGTATCATCATCACCCCCGTCCTTAGCATCATCTTCGTCTTCATCTCCATCTTCGTTCGCCTTGTTTGCCTTGGGCTTGAGCTTGGGCTGTTTTCTGTAGTCGCCTGTGATACCATCATCACCCCCGTCCTTCGCATCGTCTTCGTCTTCATCTCCGTCTTCGTTCGCCTTGTTTGCCTTGGGCTTGGGCTCATTTCTGTAGTCGCCTGTGGTATCATCACCACCCCCATCCTCCGCAACCTCTTCATCTGGGATACAAGCATTGAAGGCAAAGGTGTGGTTGTGATCAGCTTGGAGTTATAACTATCACACACACAGATACAACAACTGAAATCAGCTAAGAGCTATAGTTATTACACACACAGACACTACACGACGTTCTGGTCGCAGGAATGGCTCTCAGTCGCACAGAGTCTTCACATGACAGACAGGTAGCGTGGGCGTGTGGCTACTCCCATTGTCTTTGGGTGTGTGATTATCGCTTTGACGAATGAGACGTATGCTGTTAATAAGTGATTCAATGCAAACACGTGCACATGCACATCTAGGCACAGCTATAGCACACGTGTACATGCACATCTAGGCACAGCCATAGCACACGTGTACATGCACATCTAGGCACAGCCATAGCACACGTGACCATGCACATCTAGGCACAGCTATAGCACACGTGTACATGCACATCTTGGCGTAGCTGTAGTCTTCCTGCGAATGCAGTCGTGGTCACGTGCAATTGAGTCGTCCGCACAATACAATGACATATCAATGTCCATGAGAAGGGAGTATCGGGATGTACAGGCACAAGCACAGACATAGGCTCGCACACATAGACACACCTACAACACACACACCAACACTTCACAATCGAATAGTCCACGTGGCACGGACTGGACTACTATGCCTGCCCTACAAAGACGTTTGCTCGTAGCAGGGGGTAGTGTGTACTGACTGCAGCACCACACCGATCCGCATGGGGTACAACTGACCACCACATTTCGCATACCATCATCTGCGGCCTCGATCTTTTCATCCGCGTTGCCATGGTCACCACGCTTGACCGCATCTGGTGGCCCCACATCCCCAGCGATGTCGTCAGTGTCAATGTCATCTGCCACTTCCTGCACCTCTATGTTGTCCACCTGAGGTGCACACAGGAGAGGTGACAGGGTATCAGAATGGCCCAGAAATCCAAACCCAGAATGGTGGTATTTACGTTCATACGTATACCAAGGGTGCTCATAAAACTGCTAAGCGGGAACGAACGCAGTGGTATGGTGCATCTTCGAAGATAAATACGTTTACACGCGTGCAAAAACGTATCCGCTCCCTTTCATATGGCGATGCAGTAGAATGGAGCGTTCACAAGAATGAAAACGTTGGTACGCGTATAAACGGTATCGGTATATTAAACCCTAAACCCACCAGTTCAGTATCCGTCTGTCGTATAGGAGGCACGGCATAAACTATATAGTGATGAGATGTAAACACGTATAATTACCAACCACGCGCACACAGGATGCTTAGTCTATCCGTGGTCTATGCGTGCACACACCTCCTCTGCAAGGTCGTCCGCAGCTTTGTCCACCTTCTCCGCATGCGCAATGTTCTCTGTAGTTTGTTCAGATGTACCAGACGAGGTCAGATACATGTATCCAATAGACTTGTGCAGATGTACCAGACGAGGTCAGATACATGTATTCAATAGACGTGTTCACATGTACCAGAAGAGGTCAGCTACATGTATTCAATAGACGTGTGCAGATGTACCAGAGGAGGTCAGATACATGTATTCAATAGACGTGTTCACATGTACCAGAAGAGGACAAATACATATATTCAATTGACGCGTTCAGATGTACCAGAAGAGGTCAGATACATGTATCCAATAGACGTGTTCACATGTACCAGAAGAGGTAAGATACATGTATTCAATAGACGTGTTCACATGTACCAGAAGAGGTCAGCTACATGTATACAATAGACGACGGAGGCTATAGCAATGTGCCCATATGGCACAGACGACTACATAGATTGTATAGGAATGGTACTAATATATCCGCACTGTATGGTGCAACGCAGGTAACGGATGGATAGAGGCATTCATGTGTATAGATACATATGTATATAGAATCAGATAAGTTGATATATACTAACAATCTTTAGCTACCTATGTGACGCGACTCGACGTGTACATACAGAAACGACGTGTACATACAGAAAAAGTACATGGATAGCTATGTACATAATATTTGTGTGTGTATATATTTATACAAGTGA